CATTTTCCAGATCTAGTCCTATTTGCTTTGCACTAAGCCAGGTGTCTAGTCTGTTTGACCTTGAGAAAACTCCTCCCAAATTTCCCAGGTCCTGCTCTCTCACTGCCTGCCTCACCTCAGTCTTTCCTGGAGGTATTAGCATGTAACTCACAGAATCACGCGTATGTTTGGAGTGAGGTGAACTGAGCCTGTCAGTGTGTCCTATTGTCTTTTAATTGCTTTCAGCCCTGCAGACTTTGAACGACTTTCTTCACCCTTCAGTTCAGCACTGATTTATTCAGCTTGTACAAGCAATTTGTTCACTTTTAATTAGACTCAACTCAATTATTTTGTCAGTAAAATAAACCAAAAGAATCTATAAAACAATTTTTAAGTGAAATCGCATTTCTGCCTGGAGGGATATAAAAAATGAAATTATGCATCTCATTTTACCTGCTTTTTACAAAGAAAAGAATGCCTACATTGTCTTTTTTATTTCCCAAGATCTTCTGCCTTTATTAAGAAGATACTTGGGAAGTCAGGCTTGGAATAAAGGAAAGAAAATGGGTAAAGGTAGTTTTCAATGGAGAGCCAATATTTAAGTGCATAAGGCAGGGTCTCTCCAGGTTTGTTCTTTGGCAGTCCCTACTTTACAATGATCTGGGACCTGGTTAAGAGTACAGATTTCCTACCTCATCCCCAGAGTTTCTAACTCAGTAGGTCTGAGAGGTGGGAACAAGAGACAGAGCTTCTCACTTGCCTATTCTTGCAAGTTCTAGACTCATCCCTGCTTCTGGATACCCAGGCTTTCTTATTCCCTAATTGACCTCTTCTGCTTCTCCAGGAAGCTTGCCTTGTCCTACTCAGTCACTCATGTTTTCTTCTATCTTTGACAAATTCCAGAGCTTGCTGTCTGTGTTTATTCAGTTCCCTGTTGATAGCCTATCCATTACCTTTCCTGTGTATAATCTCATCTCTCCAACCGTCTTGTTGGGGTGGGAACTGTGCATTAGGGAACTTTTTCTCTGTACTTAGCCAAATACCCTGCATTCAATTCCATGCTCCCTCTGCTACACCAGTGTTTCCAACCTTTCAAAGCCCAAAGACCTCTTTTGTTGTCAAAGAATTTCATAATCTACACCTAAGAGTTAGTATAATTTTAGTATCATGGATTGAGAAAATACATAATAGCAAAAATTTACCATGACATCAGTAATGCCCTTAAACAAATTTGCAATATATCCATTTCAACCATATCTGCTACACTTAAAAGTAGTGGCTCACATTTGCAACAACACGGATGGAACTAGAGAGTATAATGCTAAGCAAATTAAATCAGAGAAAGACAAATCCTATATAATTTCACTCATATGTAGAATTTAAGAAAAAAACAAACAAGCAAAATGAAAAAAAAATAAGAGAGGCAAACCAAAGAACAGGGTCTTAACTATAGAGAACAAACCGATGGTTATCAGAATGGAGGTGGGTGAGGGGAGGGGTTAAATAGCTGATGGGGATTAAGGAATGCATTTGTCGTGGTGAACCCAGGGTCAAGTATGGAACTGTTGAATTATTATATTGTATACCTGAAACTATTATAACACTGTATGTTAAGTAAGTGAAATTAAAATAAAAACTTAAAAAAAGGAGTGGCTCACATATGTATGCAGCATATGATGTGTTCCATCTACAGACTATGCCTGGAGCACATATGAATTCTCTAATATCTCATTATCATCAGCCTTAACTCAGGGTAGCATCTAAGGGCTAGAGTTTAGGGATCATTCTCTTGGCCTCAAATTTGAAGGAGGACACTCAAATAGGTCAGAGTGGAAAGTGTAGATTCCCTTTCTTCAGCTAACAGGAAATAATGACAGGTCTCATCATATGCTAATTGCCACACTGGCACATTGCCCTAGTAGCCCTCAGTGGATTAATCCTATACCCAATTCTATGAAGAAATGTCATTTAATTTGGGACCTGGTAGAGACCACCAATTCTCACCAAAGTTTCTATATGTTCGCCCACATAGCTGAGATTAGACCATGTGGCTGATTCTGGCCATTTGACTATGAGCAAAGTAATGTAGTTCACTTTTACATCCCTGTTATGGCTCTATTTAAAGCCACATGTTGAGATCATGAGGCAGAGGGAGCCTGGACCCCTGAGCCACTGGATTGAGAAGAGTTACTTTGGAGCTGCAAACCCTTCATAAGTTGTGCTAAGCCACTGAGATTTGGGGCTTCATCTCACAGCCTGGCCTATGACCTAGCCTGACTAATATACTAGGCAAAGCATGAAGAAAGGGCCTCCAAGGGAGAGGAACTACTAACCACCTAGATTCTCACACATGTGTGCACATACACACACACACACAGGGGGGTGGTGGTAGGCAGGGGAGGTGGAGAAAGAAAGCTTGGAATATTTGAGAATGTGGAATAAGAAGAAAAGGTGTAGGGTGGAGCTGGGTCACATGAAGTATAATGTAGGCCACAGTGAGAAGTCTGGGTTTTATACAAAAACAATCATAATCATTGAGAGCATTAAGAGACCTGACATGATCTGGTTTGCACTTTAAAAAAACAACTTTGGCTGTTAGGAGGAAACTAGGTTGGAAAGGGAGCAAGCGAGGATGCAGGAAGCTGATAGGAGTCTGTGCAGTGGTCCATTCAAGAGACAATAATGTCTTTTATTATATTGGGAGCAGCAGAAATGTTGAAAAGCAGATGGATTTGAAAAACATTTACAAGATGAAAATGGGTAGAATTTAAAAATAGATTGGCTGTTCATCAAAAAAAAAATGAAATTTTACCATTTGCAACAACGTGGATGAACTAGAGGGTATTATGCTAAGCGAAGTAAGTCAGTCAGAGAAAGACAAATATCTTATGATTTCACTCATGTGGAATTTAAGAAACAAAACAGATGAACATAGGGGAAGGGAGGGGAAAAATAAAATAAGACGAAATCAGAGAGGGAGACAAACCATAAGAGACTCTTAGCTATAAGAAACAAACTGAAGTTTGCCTGAAGGGAAGCAGCTGGGAGGGGTGGGGTAACTGGGTGATGGGCATTAAAGAGGGCACTTGATGTAATGAGCACTGGGTGTTATATGCAACTGATGAATCACTAAATTCTACCTCTGAAACTAATAATATACTATATGTTAATTGATTTTAAATAAAATTTTTAAAAATAGATTGTAGCAAATGAAGGGGAAATCAAAGATAACTTTCAGGTCATTTGGGTAAAGGGAGATGCTAACTCATAGGAATGAGGGCTACTGGAACCAAAGTGAATTTTGGAGAGGATCCAAAGCTTTAGAAATGTTAAAGCTGAGATACCTAGAAAAGAAGAGAAGATGGCAAAGAAGCAGTGTGATACTCTTGTCCAAAACTCATGAGAGAGGTCTGAGCTCCAAATACACTTAATGGGAGACCAACTTGCTGGGTACCTGGTGATGCCCTAAACTCCAATGAATCTGGGGAGTAATGAAGTAGAGCATAACAGACCATAGAACTTTCTTCTTGTCTGTTTAGGAAAAAAATGCTGTCCTTGAAAGTCTGTTGGAGTAAGGCTCTTATGGACCAAGATGCTAAGAAAAAATCGGTAAACTGCATTCACAAAAAAGACTAGTGATGGAGACTGAGTGTGGTATGCTATTAATACTTGAGTTCTATAAAGATCTACCCTCTGATCATTCCCACAAAAACCCATTCTGTAGGATTTCATTTGTCATGTGTTTTCATTACCTTCTACAGAAGTACATCCTTCAAATTAAATTTTATCTAAGGTGATTGCTATTTCCTTCTCACTCTGCCTTTTCCCTTTCAAACTGGTCCCTGCTCTCACCAGCCTCCAAAAGCCACAATCCCTACCCCACCCTGTGCAAGGGCCTCAGATGCATTTTTTTTTTTATTTTATTATGTTAGTCACCATACATTACATCATTAGTTTTTGATGTAGTGTTCCATGATTCGCTGTTTGTGTATTAACACCCAGTGCTCCATGCAATATGTGCCCTCCTTAATACCCATCACCGGGCTAACCCATCCCCCCACTCCCCTCCCCTCTAGAACCCTCAGTTTGTTTCTCAGAGTCCATAGTCTCTCATGGTTCTCAGACGCATTTCTTATTCAATATTTCTTTCTCTCTGGAGGAAGTCAGCATCTGGCATCCTAATTATAGGACACGTTTTGTAGCCAGTGAATGAGGCACAATCACAGTTCTTGCTCTTTCCATTGGGAAGGACAGAGCACTTTCTGGTACTTACAAGAACTGATTGCACACAGCAGCTATATGTGGAATCCTGTAGCTGAGTACAAGGCAGATGAAGGCTCTGATGTTCAGCCGTCCTCAAGACTTCTAGTGTCTCTGAATTCCACTGAAGAATAAGGTCTCCCCTTGGGCCATTCCTTTCCCAAGAAGGCCTTACCAAACTTTCCCAGGCACATTCCGGAACTGGAAGCCTTAGTGAAGGGCTTTTAAACTGTGATTTCTGTTTTGTGGCCTGCAACTAAACATACTTCCCTGAATCTAAAATGCCATCAATTTAATAATATGTTGTGAGGGTAAAAAGAAAAAAAGAAATATTAGCATATCAATTATGTGACATATCCTAGGTTCAAAACATTAAAATGGGGGGGGGGAAAGTACATCTTGGATCCTAATAAATATAGGTTTTTCTGACAGGGAGGAGGAAGAGGTTTCCAGAGAGGAATCATTCTATCCTCCTTATGTTTTTTTCTCCGTCTGTAAAATGGGTATGGGTAAAATAGATAGAAGACTACATAAAAGTAGTGGCCATTTCCTTGAGAAAATCCAATCAGAGTTAGTGGGGGAAAAACAAAATGAATAGGGAGTTGGTAATAAGCTTGTTGTATTGCAAATTTTTCCTTGATCTAGTAGAATATTTGGGAAATGGATAGGAAGCAGGTTCTCTGGATTTTTTTTTTTTATTTAATTCAAGGTTGATGAAAAACCTTTTGTTGCTGCTACCTTTGTTGTTTTGACACTTCTGTGGGAAACAAACAAAAAACTTGCAAAACATGTTAGCAGCATTTCCTGCATTAGAAGGTAAGCATCAAATAATGAAAATGACTGACACTTTCTCTATAATTGGTAATGTTTCTGAACCTGGTTCCCAGAATAGCAAAGAGAGAGATAGAAGGTCTAGGACAATGTTGTGATAATGGGCCAAGAGTTTTTATTTCAATAAATGTAGGTCCATGTTAGTGCCTATGAAAAATAATGTGTATCAAACCCCTAACTTCAGATATCAGTATTTTATCAGAGTTATAGTCAGTGTCATATCAGTGTAAAAGTCAATATTTAAGCTTTTAAAAAGTGAGTTGACTTAAAATATATTACATTTAATAAAATAAATGATCTTTGGGTATGGCAAAAATTGAAAAGGTGATTCAAGAATGATTGCAATTTGGGGAAAACTGATATAACTGATTGATTTAAGGACATACTGACCCTTGACTATTCTAAGGTGGTTATTGTTTGTTAACTAGATGTCTAACAAGAAATTATTTTGTGAGATTTATACATTTTGTAGCTCTTAGGGTAGAGAATTTTAAAAACCCCTGTGGTTAATTGAAGGCCAAACTTTCTTAGATTCCAATTAATTCTAATATTAAGATAGGGTACTGCTTATCAAGAATCTAAGTGTAGACTAAATTTAATTTTATAGTTGTTGTTTTGGTTTTTTGTTTCCCCCTTCATTGTCCTGCCCAACTGATATACTTTTTAAAGAACTGGACATGAAGGGAAAATAATTCTCCAGTCTCCACTTAATACTGCTTTCTAGCATTTCTTGAATTTTCTTTCCATTTTTAAAATCAATATTTGCTCTAGCCACAGGACACTTGTAAATGTGGCTTCTTCCTAGGATGCTCTCTTACTTCCAGACACATACACACATACATACATATACACACTACACACATACACTTATCCCATCCAATTACCTCTCATTCATCCCCCTGATCTCATCTCAAACCCCACCTCTTCAGGGACAAGGTCATATCCCTCTGTAAGGCAATCACATTGCACCCTGTTCTCCTTTGTGACACTTATCATGGTTGATGAATATACACTTGACCCTTGAAGAACATGGGGGCTGGGGGTACAGGCATCACACACAGTCAAAAACCCACATATAACTTTTGACTCTCCAAAAACAACTACTAATAACCTACTGTTGACTGGAAGCCTTTTGGATAACAAGCAGTCAATTAGCACATATTTTGTATATTATATATATATTATATACTGTATTCT